AAGGGCTCCCCCCCCACCCCCAGTCAGTGTTTTAAACTGTCGTTAATAAACCATCTGAGATGTTTTCCGAGGGTACGGCTGTGTGGTTGTGAAGTAGTGGGTGAAAGTCGACGTTGTGTTAATGGGTTACCTTTAGTAGAGGTGTAAGTAAAGTATCTGTTGCCAAAATACCGCGGTCCTGTTGTGCACAGCTTGGTTAGCTCTGTGCATAAGTTTTTTTTCCGCATTAGGAAGTGCTGTCAGCCCAGTACTTGATATGACCTTTGAATGTATCCCAGTTGTAGAGTTTGTTGACAATGTTTGTAAATGCACAGATTTTAATTGTGGAGTAAATTTCTAGATTCCTGTTGTTTGGCAAGACCTAACTGGTCATTGTACAGTACAGACAAAAGAAGCGTTATGGATGGTAAACACAGAAGTTTAGTTAAATGGTAGTGCATTGGCCATATTATAGAATACATGGTATTTTGTTGCTGTTGATGTGCCATGTTTAGTCAGTGTTTGTGCTATCCTCGTTTAGTGTCTGTGATGTAATTTCTTGTTCTGGTTTCCCTTTGCTATTGGAAAATGTTGGTATTACAGAAATAGAATTCTATAATGGCCAGCTGACCCTGCAGCGAGCATGTTTGGGATACCCTACAATAGATACAAAGTTATTTGGATGGATTTCTACCAAAAGTCGCTAGTTAGGTCTTATGCTACAAATCTTATCATGCCTTTACAGGTAATTTGGGGAGATTTTTGTTACTTCATATCACATATTTGTTGTGAATGTTGCATTTGAACATTGTATAAAATACTAATAAATCACTACAGTGATTTTTCTCTAGCAATAACTCTGTTATGCTTCTACGTATTACGGGAATGCTTTGCCTTTTCTTGGCTTTTTAATTTCCCACATTTTCTTGAATATCTCCTTACCCTTGTGTTTATAAGGAAAGGATTATTCTGAATACCTTCTCTTTCCTCTTCTTGTTCAGTTTCATTCAGCTAATGTGAACAGACAAAGAGAAAGTGGAAAGTCTGGTAGTCTTCTCGTATTTTTGAGTTGGAGTGGTAGTTGTGGTCTTCCAAATGAGGTCCTGGTAGAATAGGATTGTTCTCTGTATTTTTCTCTTACACCGTTCCGTGTGTAATGTTTCTTTCTGCTTTAGAGACTTCTATCTATATATTGGAAAGCCACAACTTTCTTTAGTGTGGTATTTAAAAACTTTATGTTCAATACATGTGAAATTTATGGGTAGACTATTTATGAAAGAGTATCTTTCATCCTGTTAGCCTTATTAGATTCTGCTTCTACTCTTTGAAAATGAAGATATGCTTACCAGGATGCTGACTTCAAGGTAGTGTAAGATTTCCTGATTATGCAATAACTTCTGTCTGAAACATGAAGAGATGTTGGAGAAGGAGCTACCAGAAGAGTTGAGGTTAGATTCAGAACTGGTTGCCTCTTGCTTCTAGCTTGCAGCAGAAATGACTATTGCTGGTTTTCTTTTTTCCATTAATTACCCACATCACTATCTGCTGCCTTTCCAGGGTAAGAAAAAAACAGTACTAGAGGGATTTGGCCAAGAGCCTGCCTCCGCAGTGGCAGAAGAGAAAAGTGTCAAGGAATAGGATTGTTTCAGATGCAAAGTTAAAATGAAGGGGGAAAGTTTGAAAAGACAAACTATCTTGATGTCACTGTAATATGTAGAGCTTTCCTGAAAATTATGAAATATATTTGTATGATGGTGTGTTTATCCCATCTAACTTCCTGATGTTTCAGACTGGCTATAAAGGTGGATAGCTATGTTGTATTTCAAGGGTAGGAAGGGATAAGATCTGGAGTAGAGGAAATGCTGTAAGGAGTTCATAGTTTCAGAAAGTGCCTAGAGGAACTCTTTGGAGAACAAAGCACTGTCAGAAAACACAATGGCATTACTTGGGAGCTTGTCAGTCTAGACATACTGTCTCAAGTTAAGCTTGGGTGGTTCAGAATTGTACTTTAACACAGCTAAGGGATTTTGATGGCAAGCTTGAGTGTTTGTTCATAATAATTTTGATAATATGTGTGTTCAGGATGATAGTGCCTACAGAGGAAGCAAAGCTGTAATATGTAGAAATGTTAGTAAGCATTTTTTGTCCCATACTGGTTGGGACTCCAATTTCTAAATAGTATTGCCATTGTGATCTGTGTGGTTTCATCCCATCTTTCATGGATCTGCCTTGAGGGACTCCTCAAAGGAGGACAGCCTACAGACTTCAAGACTGTGCACTAATAATGGAAAGATGTATTGTGCTTGGGAGCTTTCTTAAAATACAAGCAACTGAATAACGAACAAACAAGCTGATCATTGCACATGAAAGTATATCAACTTAGTGCTAAGGGTGGAAGAGCATTGATGACATGAAGCCCTGTGGTGTAAGCACAGCCGTCAGTGCCACCTCCATGACAAATTCATCTCGGAGTTCTTGGAAGGACGGGGGATTCTTACTCATCTTAAGCTGAGGAGCCTGTATTAGTTTACCTTGTCAGTGCTTTACTCTGCCGTAGCATGAAAGAGAGGCAGTGTATTTCTATGCTGTCAAAAACTTTAGGCTGCACTCTCTATGTGAGGTAGAACAAATGTTCCTTGGGGCCGGAGTTGCTTCTTTGTAGTCTGTGATGCACCAATGAAAGAATAACCCACGTTTTTGTGGGCATCGTAAATTCCAAATGTGGCAGATCACGAAAACAAAACAAATAGTGTAGGTTTTAATTGGGAAGGTATATTCTGCAAAGAAGTCTTTATTGTTACCACCTCTGGAAATTGAGACACCACGGCTTTTGTGCAAGGTAGAAAATAATTCAGGCTGACAGGTTATGCAAGTTAGCGTATAGGTCAGTTCTGCCCATCCACCCTGTGCAGAACCATTTTTCTAAGATTCCTGTTCTGAATCCTTTGTTTACATATCTAATTGCAAGTATGCTGTCCTGTCAGTTCAGTATTACAGTTGAGATTGTTTTCATCATAAATCCTATACTTCTGGGTGCTCCTCTAGTGTTAATGAGGGGTTGATGTTATGCTTGTTAATGGCTCAGGCTATTTTGACATAAGTACAAAACCAGTATTTACTTTTGTTATACTTTTTTGTTCTACTATTTAAAAATTGATTTAGAAGAGATTTTTAAACTAGTGACAAACTATTTTATGACACATTTGAAGACTGGTTTAAAAATAGCTGCTGTTTTTTATTTTCTTGGTGCACAGTACTTGATTGTTTCTCTCCCACAACTCAGTAAGAATAGAAGCATTCAAACATTTAGATATGTCAATGAACTGTATGTCTGTTTGTTTCAGTATGTGTTTTGTATATGTGTAGACTAACAGGACATACTGACTTGAATATGTTAAAAATAACTTTTGTTACTGTAAATTGACTCAAGTAAATAATTTTATCAATATTTGT